CACCTTCTAGCCTCGGCGAGCCGGCAGCTCTCTTGCAGGTTTTATGGTGCCCTCGTGCCCAGCAGCAGCTGGAAGGGCAGGCTGCTCTCCTCCGGCGTGTTCGCTCAGCTTACGCGTGGAGTACGCCTTGCTGATGTCTTGGCGTTAGTGGTGCTTTGTTGCAAGCTGACAACAGCCATTTTTTTTATTAGTGAAAAGGCTGGATGAGGCCTTAATATCATGGTAAGGCTGATTATCACCTCGGCTGTCCCAGTGGGGCCTGTGCGAATGTAATATGGGTCATAACGCCTTGTTTTCTCTTAAAGTTCTGTGACTCCATCATTAACCAAAATACATGTTTTAATTTGTTTTGTTTCTTACTGGCAATTACAGCTGTAATAGTCAGCTTCTGCACGCTTTTGTTCAGGCCTCGCTGGCTAGTCATCGCTGTTGGAAGAGATTAGCACCGCGATGCTCTATCCTGTTTGAATGTGGACCTTGCACGTAGCCTGACCGGCTGGCAGGGATGCAACTGGTGAAAGCCACGGTCCCTGGTGTGAGGAAGGGATGTCACTGTCGGTGGGTCTAGGCGGTGTTCTGAGGTCCCTTCCAACGCCCACCGCTGTGTGATTCTGTGACTGATAGAGCTGTTTAATGCTGTCAGCCATCAGGACATCATTGCGAGATGCTTTGGCTCTCTCTAGCATCAGTCAAAAAGCTCATCAGTAGGACTAAGCTGGTGGACCAGAGTGCTTTTTTTCAGCTATTTTTGACTTTAGAAACAAGAAAAGGAGCATTTCAGGGAGAGGAGTGGGGGAGGGAGTGAGATGTGGTCACTCCACTGCTGGCATGTGGCCATGTCCTGTCCAGTGCCAGTCCGGTGTTCCCCTCCCTGCTGGGAAACCCTGAGAGGTTTTAGAAATGTTTGGAAATACAGATCCAAGAGTTCTTGCTTAAGCATAAGAAATCTGTGGTGATGAAAGGAAATAAAGAGTCACAGGATTTCCTACGCAGTTGTGTATAATTTTTAGTAATATTTCTGGAGTTTTGAAAATTTTCATGCCTCCTCTGGGACCTTGTGTAGAAAACTGTATATTCTGTTTACCACAGAAATAAACTTTTTTATTTTTTTAATTCTGACACCAATTTCCTTTTAAATGCCATACTAGACCCAAAAGGCCTCATTATTTTTTCCAGACAATTCAGTGTTTCTGGATGATTAAGTATAAGCTTCTGAGAAGTGACGAATGGTTGATTTATTCATAAAACTTTGAGTCTGATTATACTCTTTGAGAAACACAGGAATTAACCCTGCTCTCATCAGCTGTTGATGTGTGTACTCCCTGTTGCTCTTCTTGCTGCATGTGTGGACGTGGTATGGTGCGTTCTGTCCATGGCAGTGGGACACCTTCACCAGTCCAAGCGTGGGCATTTCCAGTGACTCTGTGGTTATTTCTTCAGGACATTAGCGATGTAACGGAGAGTCTTAAAGCTGATAAGCAGCTTTCAACCGACACAGACATAGTTTTTGTGAAACAGATGCTGTTTTTAGCAGGGAATATGAATTTCCCTTGCAGTTTCCCTTTGCAGATTTTTAAGGTGCAGGGAACAACTCATGTGCCACTGTGTGTGCTCTCTGCTGCATGCCCCCTCTGTGTCCTGGTGCACAGTGCGATGATGCCCAGTCTGCTGGTAAAGGCAGCAAAATACACTTTAGGACTATTTCCCCCCTTCTCATTATCCAGTGTGACAATGTTTGGCCTTAGAAATCTGCCGTGAAAACACTGTTGTCTTCATGGGAAGCATTTGGTCCTTTCTCAGTCAAAAGAAGTTGTCTTGGACAACACAAAGCTGCACTCAGCAGTGTGTTTCCACAGAGGACCTTGTAGCCATTCTCTGCAAGACTACCAGTAAGAGGACAGGCAGAAACCAGAATAACTTCTGGAAGTGTTCAAGGCCGGGTTGGGTGGAGCTCTGAGCAACCTGGTCTAGTGGAAGATGTCCCTGCGCATGGCAGGGGGGTTGGAACCAGATGATCTTTAAGATCCCTTCCAACCCTTAGCATTTTATGATAAGGAGATGTGAATTGTTTCCAGCATCCCTAAGACTTCCATACAGTCTCTTTACCTCTCTTGCCTTCTGCTTACTATTTTTTAACTTGAGCTAAATCCGGAGTTCCTGTAGCTTGGCAGTCTGCTCTCAAGAGGCAACACCTTGTCCTGGATGCCCATGAGAGGTGTAAGCACCCACCATATCTGTGCACAGGGCAGTGTTCCCTGCAGGCTGCCAGGCTGGAGGTGCTGTAGAGGCTTGAGGGGCTTCAGGGGATGCTGGAGGGGCTGGAGTTGCTGGAAGGACTGGTGTCCAAGTGACCTATGGCTGTCACCCAGATTTTAATTCAGTGAGTGTGAAATGCAGCATCAAAACCAGAAATCCTCAAAGCCAGAAGCTGTTTAAACACTGCACACCTTCACATGGTTACTATAACGTTGTTATTGCTGGCAGTGGTTCCCCGTTCCTCCGCTGCTCTGGGAGGGTGAACTGCAGCATTGCTCGCTCACGGGAAGCAGTTGGCTCGCGATGATACGTGGCAGGGCAATTGTGTGTGGGTTCTGATGCCATCTCAGTTTTTTAAGGCGAAACTACCATGTATCGTGTCATATGTGTGTGTCAAATAGTGTGTGGCTGTGACAGTGTAGAGTGGCATGGGATCTGGCGATCTGTGAAGCGGGGCCTGTTCTGTGCCCCTGTGCACCAGTCCAGCACTGGTCCATGTTACTGCTTGTCGGATGCTGGCTGAAAGTAGTAATTTGGCTCAAGGTTGCTAGCCGGTATTTTTAAGACTTTTGGGCTTAGCAGTTGTGAAGCTTGCTGGTGGGGATGAGAGGAGCTGATGTCTCCTAACAGGGTGATGAGCCAGTGCACACTGCAGCCCGTCGCGCCGGGGCTTTGCCGTGCCTGTGAGCAGCTCTGCACCCCTCTGCTGGCACCGGCTGCAGCCGGGGGACAGGTGCCAGCTCCTCTCCTGTGCCTGGGTGCTGCCAGCAGATGATGAGACCTGCTTGCAGACTTTTAGATCTGGTGATACCTGAATGTAGAAGGGAAGGTAGCCCAACCTACCGAACCAAAAAAGCCATGGCAGGGTGGGCTGTGGTGTTGTCCTGAGGTAACTGAGCTGACGGAAGAGGCAGGAGAGGAAAACTTCAGCAGAGACAGAAGTTGTCCTCAGTGAAACATCCCTCACGGAGGGACTTCGTGCTGTAGGCTGTGGTGGTGACTGAGGTCAGACTGGGATAACACAGGGGCCTATCGCTGCACCCCAACTGAGTGTGACTGCACCAGCATGTCCCCTGGCATGTCCCCTGACACCACAGGGTGCCTGGGCAAGGGTGAGCACCGGCACCCCTGTCGCATGGCTGTCCCACTCTGAACTGAGCTGACGGTTTGTAACTCCTGGCGTGTGGCACTTGGGATGGGGAGCGTGAAGGAATGGGGAGGTGTTTTCAGTAGCTCCTGTTGTCTGTTGTGGGGACCACGTGGCTGGTGGAGGTGGCTCTGGCTGGAGATGAAGGCTCACCGGTGCACGGCTGCTGCCTGCAAACTGATGGTGAAGCGAGAGCCCTGGTCTCTGACCTCCTGCAGGTCAGATCAAAGCCCAGTGGGAGCTGGGAGGGAAGACAAGCGGTTTAGGATCTAGCTGAGGTGACAGCCAAGGACGCCAGAGGTAGAGGGTCCTCAGCCTGCTTTGAAATGGACTTGGCAAGCTCTGGACAGAGTGATCTGTGGAGAAGGGCGGTGGAGAAAGCTCTTGCGTTACATCCAGGACAGCCACTGAAACTTCAAGCATGGGCAGACAGCAGCAGAGCCAATGTGGGTTAGCAGGAACAGTGTTGTATCAGCTAAAGGCTTTGTCTGCGTTGCTCTAGCATGGTGGCTTTACACTGTGTCAGCATTTTGAGCATGTTTTGATCCTCTCTGAATAGCCCAAAGGCAGAATCACTGCATGTAAGCACTACCTTTAGGTCTGCCTGTGCAGCTGTCCTCACCCTGCCCACGGCTTTGTTTTTGGATATCCTGTGAGCGTTAACTGATCCAAAAAAACCCCAAACCCATACAGCTACATTTGTGAGTCTTCCAACCCCAATTTCTCTCGGTTCCTTGACTAACACGCGAGTACCCTTGGTGTTCAGTGAACCTGTAGGTGCGGTAAGAGGAACTACTTTCAGTGTGCCTGCCCAGCGGGAGGTTTAGGTGAACGTGATGTACTGGCAGTGAGCTCTGACTCTTGCTGAGGCTTCCCCTGAAGGGCTGAACTGCGCCCAGAGGGATTCTGCAGCGTGTTTTGCAGTGGCTGTCATGCTCTTCGCTTCCACTGTGCTTTTATCAGGCTACATTTTCTACTGCGATAACTTAATGACCGCTTGTATTTTTTATGCCTTTTGATGTGAGTCCTGTCCCACAAATTGCTGTGGGTTTTGTGCACTGAAGGCTAGGTGAGTTTAGAGAGCCCGCCTTGCTTTTTGCAGGGAGCATCACTTTCATCTGAAAAGGTCTCTGGGATAGGTGGAAGGGCTGTGCACTGAAAAAGTAATTACCTTTTCTGGTAATGCTGTGAGAGACTAACATAGCCAAGATTTTCTGATGAGATACACCAGTAGTGCCTTCGGTGCTCTCTGCTGCTCACGGTATTTCTTGTGTTCAGGGCCTGCTCAGGTTGTTTCACGTCAGGATTTTTACCACGGTTTGCTAGGGATCTAGGAGGACTCGCTGTATGGTGCTTTCCAAATCAAGCAGATCTTCCTCATGTGAAATGGGTAGTTTATTTTCCTCGGAGTTGACACCCCTGCTTGCTTAAAGGAGCTTTCTGGGAATACTTAGCTGCTGTTTCCATGCAACAACCAATTTTTCTTCACTGTGGATTTTCTGATTGGAAGCCTGTATGTATAACCTTTTATTTGCATATTTCTCATCAACAGCTGAATTTCATTACCTTTTAACTCTCTTTTCTTTTTTTTTTACAGATAAACTGCGTAACTTTCCCCCACCCTGACGTAATGCCAGAGCAGCAGTTGCTGAAACCTTCGGAGTGGAGCTACTGTGATTATTTCTGGGTAAGTAGGCAGCGAGCCACATGCCAGATTGCAGCTCCTGAGCTTCCGAAAAAGTGGAACAAACAGCTTGATCTGTGGTACAAGGTAAAGAAGAATTTGGGCTGAATGCAATGCGCAGGGCAGCACCAGGGACGCCAGTGAAGATCAGATGGAAACCATCTGACTGGTTTCAGGTGTGGGCGATTGAAGAGTGTCCAGCAAGATCAGCTGTCAGGAGGTGGTTTTGGTCAGGAAATGAGGAGGATGTAGGAGAAACTGCGCATCTCAAAATACCTCAGCCCAAAGGGCTGCGCAGCAGGAGAAGGGTTTGTGAGGTGGCTGACAGGGAATATTGTTTCAGTGTTTCCCAGAGCATGAGAGCCAGGGATGCGCAAGGAGGCTGGGATTATCACATTTAAACAAGCAGATAGTTACAAACATTGTGTTAAATTGTAAAACTCACTCCTGTGGGATATTCTGGAGGACAGATGATAAATGACTTTTTAAAAGGGTGAGGTTTGTGAAGGACAGGCCCATTAGTAGCTCTGAAACTGAGTAGTTTTAATGCAGCCTTCAGCACAGGAAGTCTCCAGTGGCTGTGTTTCTGTGTGTGCCCTCTTGCGCTTAGCTCCACTTTCAGGATCCTGAAAGAGATTCAAATGTTACAGTAGTCCTTCAAGCGTGGAGCTGATAGAAAAAAAATCTTCCACTGGAAAACTGTTTTTAGGGAGACGGGGGGAATACTACCTCAACAAGAAAGATTTTATGTATTTCACAGGTGTTTTCAGTTGTCAGTGATTGAAGCATTTCCATTAAAAAAAAAAATGAGTTTCACTTACAAAGAAATGTAGGTGTTGGAGTCACAGCAGCACTTCCCTTTGTGTGTGCTCAGCAGTGTTGTGAGGACTAATGGCAGTAACTTGCTAAAATACACTGACATACTTGCAAATGGTCACATTACCAAACCATCCAAGTTTCTTCAGTTTCCTCCAGTCTTCTGATCCCAAGGAGTAATAAATTAGAAATGGTGTATAGGCTTATTTTTTGCATGTGTCTTACGGAAGTCGCTGCCCTGCTTGGTTCTTTCCATTTAGGCTTAGCCAGTGCTTGGCTTCTTGGGTTTGGTCACATCTTGCTCTCAGTAAAACTCCACTTAAAGCTGCCTTTCTTCTGCAAATTTTTATCCTCCTATAGCTCCACTCCCAGGACGTGCCCCTTGTAATCCATGGTGTGCCCATGACTCGCCTCTTTCTTCAATCAGCTCCACTCCTCCCGTTGTCTTAGGCTGGTAGTGCCTGGCATCCTACAAGTCTCCTGCTTTGATTAACGTGGTGTTTTCCTCTGTGCGGATGTGCAGCACCCAGGGTATTGGAGCAAAATCTGTAGTCCTTAGGGAAGCATTCTCTGGGCCTGTTTGTTGGAAGAGGGTAGGAAATGAAATTCTGAAATAAGGGAAGGCAGAGAGTGGAGAGAGGGAGAAGAGACAGCAGAGAGAAGACTGTGTTGTTCCTTGTAGCAACCCTGAAATCAGTGGAGCAAGACGTGAAAAGGGCTGTGTAGGAAACAAACAGTGAAAGATGGGATGTATGGCAGTGATCTATTGAACAAGTTTCTGTTTTACCCTGCTTTACAGCAGATCTGTGCAGACGGGCTGTATTTTTCTGAGTGCAAATCAGGGTTGAACTTTACAGTTGTCGTTTAGGGCTGAGTTACTGCTGGAAAGAGCAGAAGTGTCCTCCTCTCTCCCCCAGCAGTTTCGTCATGCTGGCTCCAGGACCCCTTCTTCCCTTTGCAGGGCGGAGCCATCAGGGCTTGCGCTTGCTGGAGCCAGCCCAGAAGCGTTTTCAGGTATGAAAGGCCATGGGCAGAAGGGGGCTCATGGCTGGCTGGACAACCTGTGGATGCACCATCCCTGGAAGTGTCCAAGGCCGGGGTTGGACAGGACTTTGAGCAAACTGGTCTAGTGGAAGGTGTCCCTGTGCATGGCAGGGCGGTTGGAAGATTATCTTGAAGGTCCCTTCCAACCCAAACCATTCTGTGATTCTATGAGGGGAAGGCAAGTCTGATGCTTTGGCCCCAAGATAGTGTCATGCTAGCTAAAGAGAACTGTGAAACTTATTTTTTTTTAATTAAAAAAAGGAATAAGAGGAGAGGGACAGAGAAAGTGTTGGACTATCCCCCTGAGAGGGGCTGAGGTGCTGTGACCGTTAGCTGTTATCAGAGGAGGGCTCTTCGGACACCATCGCTGCCTGTGTGGCAGTTGCGTGGGCAGTTGCCTTTGAGAACTGTGTCTGTGGTTTTGATCCCCATATCTTTTTCTTGAACTTCCTTTTTTCTTCCAGGCTGATAAGAAGGATTCGCAAGGGAACAATACAGTGTCGGGATTTGAAATTCTTCTTCAAAAGCAACTTAAAGGGAAACAAATGCAGAAAGAAATGGCAGAGTTCATTAGAGAAAGGTAATTAACACTTTACTATCGAATTAATTATGGCAATATTTTTTCCTGATTTAGATATTACTTGGGTACATTATTGATGTAGCTTAAGCTACATAAAAGATATGCTGTCAATTCTTGAAGAATGTTTAATATTTCTTTAATGTCCATCCACACTCTCCAGTCTTCCCCAGCTCTCACTTGTCTCTCCTGCTGTGCCTGTCTTAGTTGTGTTGCACACAGGCTGTCCGTTTAGACAGAGGGAACCAAGAAGGTTTTAAGCTGCAGATTCAAGGAAAAAACATGGACCTGGAAAAAAACAGAGTAGACGTGATACTTAGAAAGGAAATATTTTGTCTGAAAAATAGAGAAGCAATTTGTTGATATGGAGCATAGGCACAGTTTCCATGGGGAAGATGTAAAAAGACATCACTTGGGACTTAAGCTGGTTATGGAGCTAAATTAACACGTACAGGTATTTAGAGTGAACCCCAAGTCATAAAGGCAGATGTCGCTACCAGAAGATGCCAGATTGTTGTTAATGGTCTGTTGCTCTGCTGACATGGTGTCACGGTTTAAGGTGCACTAAGAACCAAACAAACAGTTGATAGATGCTCAGTTCAACTACATACAGGAGATGATGTGACATCATTACTCATAAGTAGTGTCACTGTTATTTGAAGTTGTTTGTCATCTGTCCAAGCCAGTGTAAATCATCTTGAGGATGACTCTCAGAACTTGAGAACAGCGCATAGGGAACATCCCAGGAGGAAGGCAGAGCACACTGATGGATGTTCTTTCCTAGAGGCAACTGCACAAGTTGAAGGAGTTGTTGTCCTCTGTTATTGCCTCGGTGTTTGTGCTTGCTGCTGGGTTGGTACTGCCTTTCTGCTCCGCTGCTGTGGACACAGCATGGCTGTGCTGGTGTAAATAAATAGTGGTGGAGCAATGAATGGGGCAGCAAACTGTGCTGGCATATGGGGGGCAGTTCAGTTGGGCAGAACTTGAAGAAAGTTGCTTTCTTTCATGGTGTGTTTTCTTTCTCCCTCTCTTTTTTTTTTTTTTTTTCCTTAGTATTAGGGATATTTCAGCAGTGGAGGAGCGCAAAGTACGGCACAGGCAATAAAGATGGTCTGATACAGGAGGTGCAGTGCCCAGTGTCCATGTGTGGTTCCTAATGCTTTTGACATAATACAGTCCGAGAGACAGTTCCCATGCAAAAGTGTATCCAGAGGATGCAGGTAGAAGAAAGGACCAGCTGGCAAAGGAAGAATACAATTGAGAAATAGTCTTGCTAAGCTAGAAGATGAGGAGAAGGCACACAGAATTGTGATAGCTGTGGTCAGGGAAAAGAGGAGGAAAGCTGCTCCAAATATAGTAATATATAATGAAATTTGAGAGAAACAAAAGAAAGGAGCATGTGAGAGGGAGAGCGAGTTGGCGTCTGAGGAAGAGCAAGGAGCAATTCTGACACTGGGATGAGGCATGTTCATGTCCTTAGTAGAGGAGGAATTAGGCATGTTATAGAAGAAAAGAGAAAAGGTTCACTGTGTGCTGGAAACAAAGAAGGTTTGGAATTGAGTGTGAAGAGGATCTAGAAGGGAGTTATAAAATGCTGAATATATTTTTCTTCTGCTTGGAATAAATGATTCAGGCTTGCTCTGTGTGGAAAAGGAGGAGGACGGTGTTGAGTTGGAGAGGTTACTCACGGAAATGCGAGCTCCAGCCATCAGGGGAACCCTTACAAACCCAGCTAAGAGAGGGAAGATGTGCTGATAAGATTTTCTTGATGACTGTCAGGTGGCTCAGGGAATATAAGACCATGTTTAACTAGAGATTTTCCTGTCCAGAAAAACTCTCTCCATATGTACATAAAGCCTGCTGGAGGTGAGGTTCAGGCAGCTAGTAAAAATAGCTTTAAATAGGAAGCTGGGATAAGACACGATAGCCAGGCTTCTTCATCAAGTAACCAACAACTAACGAAATATAGTTTATCAAGCAGATGCTTTTAGAGGAGCTACTTGTAAATAGCAATCTTAGACTGAGCAATTATGTGTTCATTCAGTACTTGTTGACAAAGGTAGGGTTATAACACAGACTTTGAATTTTAATAAGACAGACCTCAAGAAAGAGAGGAAAATAATTAGTAAATTGACTGCACTGAAAGATCAAGGATGTGGGTGTGAAAGAAGGGAAGAATTACTTTAAGTCAAGAGTGAAAATGTCGTCCAGCATTTGCATTCAAGTAAGCACTCCAAACAGTCAAACACCCTGAATAGCACCAGTCTCTCTAAATATAGGAAGTAGTGGTTTTATTAGCAAAGGAACACTGTCTGAGGCTTTTGTCTCCTCACTTTTTAATTGAGCTGGGCTATGCTTAGAAAATTTAAAATAAATAGGAAATTATTTAGCTACATGCAAAGAGACATAAGCAAGAGAATGGCTGTAGCGAGTCTGATGAAGGTCTGGCTAGCCCACTGGCTTTAATCTGACTGTGGCAGTACTGAGTGCATTGCAAGGAACAGAACATGAGAGTCTCTGTCCTACCGGCCTCCCATAACCAGAATTTTGGGCATTTGCAGAGCCAGAGTTTGCCCTAAATCTGCCGTGTTCAGCAGATACTTGTAAACATCTTTCACTGTTCATGTAATCCTTTTGAGTCTTTTTACATTTTTGACCACTGCAACAATTTGTAGCAGACTTCTGCAATTTATGCACTACAGGAAAAGTAATTATGCTTCTGTTTTGTGATAATTTCATTGTTGCCTCCTAATCTGGAGAAATAGTGTAAAAAGACTCGTAGTCACTGTCTTCCTACAGTGACAGTTGTGTAGATGTCTGTCAGATATCCTCTGATCACCTTTTCTCTGTATTCTCCATGTTGTCTTAATCTATTTAGTTTCTTCTTGCATGGTAGTCACATCAGATCATCTTTGCCTCCCTTTGTAGCTCTCTAGTTTTCCTTCATCCATTAGAACATGGTGTGACTGAAACTGTTTTGAGTATGGGCACACAAAGTACTTTAAAAAAAAAAAAAGCATAAGAGAGCAGGGAATAAACATCCAAAGAGCACCTTGAACTAATAAAGTTCAGACAGTATGGGTCAAAATGCACTTACAATCTGTAATGCTTCTGACTGCCTGGGGAGTGAAATTCTGTAAGTTTTCAAACAAGTTAGTGGAAACAAGAAACTTTGAGGTTTTTTGGTGTGGAGCTGGAGTAACTGCGAAACAGCTGTGTGGATTTCTGGAGGCAGGCTCCCAAGTCCCTGTGTGCTGATGTGTTGGTGTTTCACAGTTGCCATAATCCAGAGTTTGCCAGCTGTTTATGTAGGCCAGGGCTAGGAAGCATATTTTTTTTCCCTTTTTGAGGTATATCTTTATCTTGTTTTTTAGCCTCTTTTGAGGTGTTCAAGATGTTTTGGCCATAAATGGTGACAGGACACCAGGCTGAGGTGGAACAATTTATGTCTTACAATTGGGGCTCTGAAGCAATAACCAATCCACCTTTTTATTGTTATTTTTTATTGTTAATCCTCCTTGCCAGGCAGTCTGCCCTGTAAGTAGTGCCATCCACCTGCAGTACAAGTAACGCTTGAAATCCCAGAGCCTGGGTCAAAGCTGGGACCAGTGAGGACCACTTCCATCGACGCCAGTGGCTTTTTATGTAGGGTGCCACACTTGGGACAGGCACTGATGGCAGTAGACATTGTGTGTCTTGGGTGAGATTGTGAAAATCATGAGGCTTCCTTTGGTCTTGTTGTGTTCAGTACTTTACCAGCTACAGCCGTATCAAGGAAGGACTTCACAGGGCTTAAAATTCATTATTTTCACAGCAAACTTTTATGATGGAAGATGGTTATTCCTCTGTTAGTGAGACAAAGGTCTGAGACACAACTTCTGTGAGGATCTGTCTGTATGGGCAGCTCAGAACAGTCAGTAGACCTGCTGGCACCTTTGCATGCCTGGCATCCACACATAAATGAACATAGACGAGAGCTGTGGTTGGGAACTCCAGGTAACTGAGGCAGAAGGAGTGAGCCCTGGCTTCGGGCTGGATGCGTAAGTATTTAGCTCAGCTACATTTAGACATTTGCATCTTTATTGTAGTTGACCTATGCTCCCTTTTCAATCCATAGAAATTGTCTGAGGCAAGGTTAGTCTCATCCTGAAGTAGGTATTTAAAGTAGGTCAGGTGATGTATGCCTGGATAAAGCCCTTTTCACCGTGAGGTCCTCCTAACCACGGTGTGCTTTTGGTGCTAGACAGCTGTATTTGTTGGTTTTGCTACAGCAGGCGTGGGGAGCTGGCTGGTCTTGTTCTCATGCGAGGGGGAAGAAGAGGACCCCACATGCTGAGTGAGGTCTGTAGTTGTCCTGTGCCCTACCGAGCTGGGTATCGCCTTGGGCCTCAGCCAGCTGCATCCCACAGAGTGACATCCCAATCGTATTTTCAGCAGCCCAGAATATCAGACCCCTCTTAGCAGGCTCACGGGACCCCTTTTGTCTCGAACATGTCACGCGTAACAGTGCTTGCTCAACTAGCTACTGCAGATGGGCATGCCAAAAATATCCCACCTTTTGTCTTCTCACTGGAAGGAGGTGGATTTCAAACCACGTTTTTCCCCTGCTTGTGCATAGTTCACACAGAATCAGGAGTTTCTACACCTGGGTGCCACTCAACTCTCTCTTGGAGATGCTCTGTGGAGTAAGCTGGTTTGAAAGCCAGCAAGTGGCCAGTTGTTTGCCCTACTTGGGATCACGCATACCTTGCAAATATTTTGCGAGGAGAACAACTCGGGGAAGCTGGAAATGGGTTTCAGGCTTGATGCACATCACCTCCGAACTAGCAATCAGCATTTATCGGTGTCCCCTTGCTCAACAGCTACACTTGTTCTTCTCCCTGCAGCCATTCCCATCGTGATTGTGTGCCAGCAGCTTCCCTCTTCTGCACGCCTACGCTGGCAGGCTCAGATCTGTTTGCAGTGTGGTGCTGCTGAGTGAATGGAGAGGACAGGGCAGTGGGTGGGGTGGTGAAGGGCAGGGGCTGCACCACCACGTGTCAGTGACAGAAACCCCTGCCACATCTGCACCAGATTCGTTGTCTGTAACAGGGAGCAGGAAACATTCGGTGTCCTTAGGAAAGATGCAGTCCAGCACCTCAGACCTCATTTGGGTTTCTCCTCTATCGCTGGATTCCTTCGTCTTCGCTTCAAAGATGTGCGACCTCATGTTTAGCAGCAAACTGAAACACATGCTTCTCAAGTGAGCCCAATTTTACAGACATTCCATGTTGCACAGTAGAAACACTTTGTCCTTGTTATTTGCTCTCCAGAACTGTAGCTTTTTCTTCTAATTTTATCACACATGCTGTCCTGCATATATCCCTGCTCTTGCTATTGCAGTTTTAGCATATGGAGGGGAGAGATGGATCCTGAAACTGATGCTGCCAAGCCCCGGAGACTGAAAGGAAAATTCCTGTGACAAGATCTGTTAAAATGCAGAGAATTTCTTTAAATTATGTGTGTGGGTTTCTGCCTTAAAGCTTACTTACTGCTGTCTTTTTATTTTCTCTGTGTGTGTGTGAGTGTAGGATAAAGATTGAGGAGGAATATGCTAAGAACCTGTCCAAACTGTCTCAGAATTCCTTGGCTGCTCAGGAAGAAGGGTAAGTGTGTCTCTGACTTTTGCAGAAGACAAGAATTTTCATATAAAAGGCACCCCTCCCACACAGTTACATTTATTTTTCCCCAGCCCTCCCATTGAGTAGAGGTTTATTTAGCTTGGCATCCTGGGTGTGTTGAGGAAGATAGAATTGCTTTGGAATATTTTGCTTTTGAAGATGTTCATGGTAAATTTTTAGGAATATCTGTATAAAACCTTGCATTTCCAATCATGTGTTTATGTGATCCTTATTCCAGCCAGCACTAGTTCCTTTAGGAATTAGCATGTTAAGTACTAAATTGCTTTGACGATGGAAGAATATATGGAATATATATACTGCTGATACTAGATCCGTAAGGTCAGGCCAGTTGAATTGCAGCAGCACAGACGAGGGAGGAAGAAGTCGTCTCTTCTCGTCTTGGGTCTGGCTCTCCAAGAAAAGCAGCAGGTTGTCCCTTATTTACAGCATGTTCACACTTTGGAAGTTATTAAGAAGGTATTAGGCAATGCACTTTAGACTGTAATTCTTCGGTAATAATGAAAAGACACCGCTCCTGAAGGATTAGAAGTTGTTAGCTCTGTCTGTTCCAACACAAACTCTCCGAGCACTGAAAGCCAAGGTTGGAAATGACTGTCCTCACCCTAGTTCTGACACAGTGTTTCTGCTGGCAGTGAAGCTCCACGAGGTGTTTGCTAAGCTTCCACGAGGCAAGGACGGAAATGGCAAGAGACTAATGAGGCTGTTACTTCTCTAAGCACCTACATTGACAATGGTTTCTGCTCTTCTTTAGGGGTGTGTGTTAACCTGCTCCTAGCAAAGCTAAAACTGCTTTCTTCCACATCTTCCTCTCTCTTTCTCCTGCCCCCAATAGGAGAATGGGGGAATACCTGAAAAAATGAAAGGGAAGGAAACAAGGGGAGAGTAGGTGAAAAGAGAGGGAATGAGGACCGAAGCATGAATAATGTTGATGTAGGGAACTGAAGAGCGTATGGAGCAGAGTGCAGGGAGCTAGGAGCACTGCCCAGTGGTGCTCTGCTGGAGAGGTGGCAAGATGAGGGAATGGAAGGTGGTGTGATGGCTAAATAGGCTAGGGCCAGGAAGAGCCTAGTGAAAACGTCCTGGTTATTCGTGAGGCCCAGGAAAGGGAAAAATTCCATTTAAAAAAGTGAGGGAGGAAGAGCAGCTAACAGGAGGACTTGAAGGAGCCAAAAGTGGGACTGCAGCCTAGCGCAGTCAGAGTAAACATTCATCAGGGTTGTCTTCTCATTTCTGAGAAGGTGTGAGTTGGGGGACTGCATGAACTGCTTCTCTGTGAACACACCAGTTACCATTACTGATTTCATATGCCATAGAGCATTCTCCAACTTTGCTGTCCAGTGGTCTATGGAATTCATGCAAAGTATGGGCTGTCCCTCCAGGGTCCTCTGCCCTCCTCTGGTGGTTAGAAGACCCACCATCATGTATGTGAGTGGGACACAAGGATGAGGAGATGGGACTGATCTGTGGTATCAGCATGGTTCTGTCCAGGTTGCTGTGAGTACAGTGCTGCTGCACATACACAGGAGGTGATACAGTCTGTGGTCATTTATGTCATTGTGGTTGGAGAAGAGGTGCAGAAGATGCTTAGCAGGCCGAAATGCCTTCTTTACTTAAATAGATCAGACAAAATAGTACTGGTGTGAACTGAACAGTGGGAGTAGACCTCAGGGTGGGACTAGGGAAAGGGAAGAGTTGGGAGCATTTACATAGGTGAAACAATTTTGGGTTGTTTAGGTGTGATGAACATCATACTTGAGGACTCTACTCATTTGAGCAACGTCAGAGATTGCAGATCATTATTTTGAAATTGCAGATGACACTGTGATGACCATCATACTTGAGGACTCTACTCATTGGAGCAACGTCAGAGATTACAGATCATTATTTTGAAATTGCAGATGACAGGCGATTTTTCAGGCTACCAGGAAGAGACAAATAAGACTATCTTTGAAAAGGGGTTGGGGGAGAGAGAGAAGGAACTGGGAAATAGTAGATCAGTCAACTTTATATAACCTATGCAAAGTGGTAGAATAAACCATCAAGCTTTCTAGAAGCACTCAGCGGAAAACTAAGGTGATGAGCAATTATTGTGGATGCGTACACAACAAACTATGTCAAACCAACCTAAATTCGTCCAGTGATGGAATAACAGAAGGCAGCATCATAGGTCTTAATTTAGCATAGCTTTTTACAGTGGGAGATTCTTGTAGGCAGGCAAGAGATACATGGCCTGAATAAAGCCTAAGGTGCAAAACTAGGTAAGCAATCATACCCACTCCTTACAAAAAGCAAAGTGCAGAAAGTAGATATGGAGCGAGATCCTGTAAGGTCCGTCCCAAGTTCAGATTTTTTTCAATGTTTTTCTTAATGACTTATGATAGAAAAAATAATGGACTTACTGTAGCCAGAGATGAGACAAAGCTAGGAGGGGTAGTGTGTACAATTTGAAGAAAAGATTGCAATTCGGAATTATTTTGTTAAACTAGAGAAATGAAGTGAAAAAAATTAAGATGCATTTCAATGAGGACAAAGCACCAGGTTTTATACTTTCACAGGATGTGAAAGATACAGTTACATAACAGTTTGTGGGAGAAGGATCTGGCTATAGTGAATCACAAGCTTATTCATCAACAACTTCACGCTGTTGTCTAAAAAAGCAATCATACTG